TGTTTGGTAAAACCTAGCTTAAAAGTTAGTTGAAAGATATAAAATGACATAAAAATACATTTAGAAAAATACATTTTTTAATTAATTAAAGTTATATTTGGAAATTTTTAAAAAAGCTCATGAAAAACTAGTTTAAGGTTGTGATTGACGCACCATAACTAGCTGATAAACTAACTTATTTTTTGAGTTGTCATATTTGAAAAGCCAAATAGTAGCTTATAAACTAATTTTTAAAAAACTACATAGACTATCTTTTCAAGAGTTTTTTTTTCAAATATATCGTTAATTGATTATACAAATGTATTTTTTTAATGCATTTTTATTTTATTTTATATATTTCAGCTAGATTCTTAACTAGTCTTTATTAAACCCTTTTTTATCAGATAGCGGTTTGCGTTTAGCTAAAAACTAGTTTTTCCGCTATCAGGTATCAGTTAGCTTTTCAAATGGTATACCAAACAGAGCTAAAGTAGTTTTTTATAAAGCTACTTTTTTGACTTGTTAAATATAAAAACTTAAAAAAACTCGAAAAAACTACCTTATTAGCTTGTTGTGGTGAACCAAAAACAACCGTTTTTTTTTTCTTTCTAAATCTGAGTTATAAGTTACTTTTTGGCTTCCTAAACATGACAACTTAAAAAAAATTTGAAAAAAAATTAGGCTATCAGCTAGTAGTGGTGCGACAAATACAAAATTTATAAGAACATAGACCAAACATTTTATACATATTAATTTTGTTTTGGCATTCTAAAAGAAAATTAATAATATTGTATGATATTAATTTTGGATTATAAATTCATATAATAAATATTTATTATTTTTTTTGATGAAGTTTAATAAATTATAAAATCCGTTCATATGATTTTTTAAAATAAAGACTTCATAATTTTTAAAATATATTTGTATATTTTTTTGGAACGGCGAAACTATATTTGTATTTAATCGTATAAAATATATTTTGTTTCGAATAAATACATCAAAATTATTAAAATTTATTTATATTTAATTATATAAGATAATTACCAAAAGTATATATATATTGTTTATTTATTTTAAAAACATTTAAATCAATTTGTTAAAATCTAAAAAAAAATTGTTAAAAACTAGTTGAAGTAACTTTTGGATTTGAAACTTTTAATTTAACCCAAAAGCTAAAAGTTCATACCAGAAAAAACAAATCCTTTTCTTTTCGAACCTTTTTTTTAAAGCTAAAAGTACAAGTTAGTAAAAATTGTGTGCCACCCTTAATCTATCAACTAACTATAGAGCATATATGTTTTGTTTAATATATTGATCTCGAAAAAGATTGGTCGAGAACGGATAAAAATGTCAACTAGTTTTTTCCCTGAATTTTCCAAATAATTGTGTAAACGACAAAACATTTTTATAAAGAAAAAATATTGTGTTCAAGGCTTCCAGCTATATGTTTCACAACAATACCCGTCGATCAATATTAAGTTAACACGTAATACATTTAAATCAAATCATACACATTATAAAAACAATTATGAACTTCAAACACTATCTTGTTACTAGATATTGTGACATAAGCTTTACACTACAATAGACGCACTGAAAGCAATTGATTCATCATGTTTTTCAATATAAATTTTTTAAATGAATTTAAAAAGTAATTGATTTGGATGGTCACATTTTATTTTTTAAAAGTAGTGAAATTGATGCATACATGCATAAGTTTGGTTGGCGAGCAGCTACAACTCTACAAGGCCCTTGGTGCCAAGTGTCATCCTATTAATATTTATATTTAAGTTGATTATCGAACTTATAAGTGATGTGCTAAATTTCCCTTTACCTTTTCCTTAAAGTAATTACTATAGGTAATTATTTTACTAAAGATATCACTAATTATTACTATATTTTTGAAAAGGGAAATTTACCAATCGAAGTTTCTACTTAACTTTTGCATATCAATAATTGTAGCGGTAAACATGAAATTATGTTTCATAAAATTTGAACATGAGTCAATAGATTAATCACCGTATCTTTTACATGTCTTATAAAATCACCACAAACTCAAATGATTAAGGATATCAATTATTATATAGCTTTATATTTATATTCATTAATTAGTTTATTGCAACTCAAATTCTTACCTGTTTTTATAGTCCAAAGATATAGGTGTACAGTGCACACTAATGCCACCAACAAGTCTAGAAAATTCGAAGAGTAAGGTGTAGATCAAAATATTCAAATAGATGAAAATAGGTACTTACTATACAAAAATAATGAAGTCTCTTTTATTTCTTTGTTAAACAGATTTAAAATGTGCTTTTAGTGTCATATGCATAATGTGCTTTTAGTGTCATATGCATTCAGACGTTAAAGAAGGCAAGAACTACGGATCAAAGTTCCATTTGATTAGTGTAGCTCAACAAAGTTGAAACTAATTTGTCAAAGGTTAATGTTATCGGTTGTCAAGCAACTATATGCCATATATGCTCGTTTATTTATTTTCAAAAATATTATGTATGTGTATGGAGAGTGACCAATTCAAATGTTTCATAATGCATCGTCATAATATCATAATATATTTAGGGGCGGTTCCACTATGGTGCTCATAGTGGCACCGACAACCCATGTTTTTTTCGGACGAAGTGTAAAAATTTTCGTTTTCTCTACTATTCTACCATTACGTAAAAAAAATTGCCACCGGCAACACCTATTTTCGTTTTTTCATTTTTTCTACTATTCTGCCACTACGCAATGTAAAATTTTCCGTTTTTTCTACTATTCTACTATATGTTGCAAGTGCTTAATTGGCATGTTTATCCACATGATATCCGCATAGTAGTCACATTCGGTAGTTAGTTTATTTATATCCTGTTATTGAAATAATGTGCATGACCTACTATACAACATGGAATATGTTTTGGGTCTTGTAAACCTTTCACAAGGTACATGCGTGATGATTCAATATTACCTTGTATAAAGAAATGTGGATGACCTACTATACAACATGGAATATGTTTTGGGTCTTGTACGATTCAATATTACCTTGTATAAAGAAACCAAGTTGGGTCTCTATTATGTAAATGTGTTTTGGGGAAAGCTATTGAAAAATCCTTATATTTTGACGTCATTAACGATTTAGTTCTTATTTTTTTAGTCAATGAAGTACAAAAAACTGTAATTGTTTGCATTTTGACTATAGTACCCGATAAACTAGTCACCAACGAAAAATGATGATTTTTTTGCAAATAAATCAAAATATAATGATTTTTTAAACATATATTATTTTTAATTTTTTAATATTATCTTATCTACTCAAATAAATAATTATTTTTCTCATATATCATACTCTTATTCATTTTGCTACATCTCATTTTATGATTATTTTAAAGGGTTTATGTCATTTTTGGTCACTTAACTTTTGGTTTTGTGCTCATTTGGTTACTTAACTCATTTTATGTTTTAAAATGTCATCAAACTTTTGGTTTTGTGTTCATTTAGTCACTTAACTTTTGTTTTGGTCACATTTAGTCACCAAAATTTTAAAATTGTACTCATTTAATCACTAAACTTTTTTTTTTTTAAAGTTTGGTGACTAAATGAGCACAATTTTAAAAGTTAGGTGACAAAATGAGCACAAATCTAAAAGTTAGGTGACTAAATGTGACCAAACCAAAAGTTAAGTGACTAAATGAGCACAAAGTCAAAAGTTTGATGAAATTTTAAAACTTAAAAATAGTTAAGTAACCAAATGAGCATAAAACCAAAAGTTAAGTGACCAAAAATGACCTAAACCCTATTTTAATTTAATATTTTTTCACATGACATTTTATAGTTTTTTCTTTTATTTCATTTTATTAAATTTCACATAATATTTATATATAATAACTATAATAATTGTAATAATAAATGGATATCAATTTTATTAATGTAGACTTTCTTTCAAATTTCAAAATTTATAAATTAGTTTAATGACATAATTTACTATAATTCACTAATTAGTACCTACGACATAGTAAAATTCAATTTTGAATTTGATTTTATGTTATGTACAAACACGTTTTTAAACAACTAATTTAATGACATAATTTACTACAAGTTATATCGAGTTATAACTAGTTTAATTTTTTAACATTTTAAGAGTTGTAAACTATCTTAATGGTTTAATATATATATATATATATATATATATATATATATATATATATATATATATATATATATATATATATATATAAGGTCCGGTTCTTGTGATGACTCATTTTAAAATGAGGACACCTTAAAAAATTGAAAAAAATCTAAAAAAAATACAAATCATAAAATCGAGTATAGAACTATGTCCGAGAGAAAAAAATTGGAATTTTTTTTTGCATCATTAAAATTGATCCATGATTCAGTTTTAATATTTTATTTTGCATCATTATGATCAATGATTCAATTTTAATGATCCAATTTTTTTTCCAATTTTTTGATCTCCCGAACATAGATCTATGCTCGATTTTATGATTTTTATTTTTTTAGATTTTTTTTTCAATTTTTTTAAAGTGTCATCACGAGTCCTCACTTTAAAATGAGTCTTCACCCGATCATGTTTCTATATATATATATAATATATATATATATATATATATATATATATATATATATATATATATATATATATATATATATATATATATATATATATATATATATGTTCAAGTGTTTAAAGTATTTATTATGTTATTGTATGCATAAATGTGGGCCAATCATTTCTCAAACCTAGATAGGGGTAAAATTGTAATCTCCTATTAATTAATTTTGGTAATTTAATAATTAAATTATTATTTCCTTTAATTTAGCAAAATTAATTTAAAACCCTACCGTAGACGTCGACCTTTAAACTGCAACCGGTTTTGGTGGGTGCGGTTCAACAGAGAACAACGAAGGGGAAGGGACGAAAGGTGAAGTTGTGATCGAGGAACTGTACTAATCTATAGAAGGAGAGGTCAATCTAGAGGTGTTTGGCTTGTAGTTGCGGTTCCAAGGTAATGGTTCTCCTCATTCATTATCCTCTTTTTTTGTTTGGTCCTCGTCTTCAAATCACCATCACCGCCAGCTGCCATGGCCGCTGGCCATTGCTGTCATCGTCGACTACCTGCCACCTTGCTGTGGTGGCAGTGGGTGTGTCTCGGAGGCATAGTCGTCGACTCTCATGGCCGATTGTTCTGGATTGAATCACGACCTTCTGAATTAGGGTAAGATGCTTAATCATCTATGTCAAACCCTAAAATCATCACCTTAAAATCTTCTTCCTTTTTGCTGTTATAAATATCGTATCTGGTGCAATTTTTGAATCTCTCATACTTTATGTCCTAATTTACTTCTCAATAAGTTAGTGATGCATTCCCTCCTCTGAACCACCGTACAGATGTTTGTTTATTATATATGAGTAGGAAAATTGAATAGTAAAAATATACAGAAGTTATTTCAACAGTTGTTCAGACTAGAATTGACATTGATTGCTTGGTTAATGGTATAGATTTTTCTTCAAAGTTTACTCGCGCAAAGTTCGAGGAGGTTAACGTGGATTTGTTCAACAAGTGTATGGAACCTGTGGAACAGTGTTTGAGGGATGCGAATATGAACAAGGATAGGGTTGATGAAGTGGTTCTGGTTGGTGGATCAACCAGGATTCCTAAGGTACAACAGTTGTTGCAAGAGTTGTTCAACGGAAAGTCACTTTGCCAAAATATAAAATCCTGATGAGGCTGTTGCACATGGTGCTGGAATTCTAGCAGCACAATTAAGTGGCATGGGTGATGAAGCTGTACAGGGTCTGGAGCTAATTGACTTTACTATTTGTATTCAGAGGTATATCTTGATTTATAATTTTCCTGCCAAACAAAACTTTGATCAATTGCAGATGGACCTCTAGTGAGCTATGCAGATGGAGTTTATGATACATGACTTAATCGATACATCACTGTTAGATGATGGCGAGGGATGAGGCGTAGATATACTGTTAGGTCGATCATTTAACCCTAGGATTATTGCTTGAAATTGCCATGGAAAGAAGATTAAGCAATAATAATGAGTGGTTGTATTTCTCATTTGCAGGTACACATGAAATCAAGAACAAGAATGTTCTTGTTTTCTTGGCTGGGAACGAAACGAGAGATATCAAAGCAAAACAGGGTACATATGAAACTTACAACATTCTACTGGAATGGAATCTTGAATTCCGATTCTATCATAATAGAATCTTAAAGATGAACATTGTATGGGATGAAGATGAACAATGACCACCAATCTTCCAAAAAGAATGGATTATTCCAGCAAAATAATATACAATATTATGAAAAAAAATATATGTAATAGTATAATCTGGTAGAATGATTTATATATTGTATTTCTTTGTTATTAATAAGTGTAACATTCTTATAGAATAGTATATAATTTTTTTTCTTTTCTAAGAATGTAATGAATTTTTTTTTAACTTGTATCCAAAATTTTGTTATTCTTCAAAAAGTTCATTAAATCAAAATATATATTATGTCAGAATGTGTATTCTTGGATGGTTCAATCATATTTGTTATTTTTTAATATATTGATAAAAATATTCCGTCAGAATGTTACGAATTAGGAGAATTATCATCCATACAATCAAAATTTTAAAATTAATAGAATCTATTTTCCCTTAAAATATACAAAATTCCTTAAAATATACACATTTACGTTATTAAATCTATATTAATTGACTAAAATACCCTTCTAGTTAGAATAGATGGTATTTTTGAATTATATTTAATTCAGTAATATGTAATAATCACTTACTTAAAATAAGTAAAATTGATTGGCCCACATTTATGCATACAAAAACACAATAATTACTTTGAATAGAATAACCTAAGCTTATATATATATATATATATATATATATATATATATATATATATTCATTTGGTATTAATTTTAGACTAACTTTGTTGCTCTAAATGAAAACAAATTATTAGATTTATATACATGAAAAGAAAAAAGGTTAAATGTCGTTTTAAAAACCTTAATGTCTCATTTGTTGTATTTAAAAAAAATGATATTCACTAACTAACCATTATAAATGTAACACTTGATTCAAAGTACTGTTCAGTTTAGACCCTTGGTGTGTAATGTTTTGCAGAATTGGTCCCTAGGGGGGCAGATTTGCCAACTTCAGGAAAGTTGGAGTACGCTTGGCGTATGTGGAGTACGCATGGCGTACACGAAGGTTAATGAAACCCTATTTTTTAGGGTTTGCACCCTATTTAAACCTTATGATATCCTTTTTTGGTCATGTTTAGCTAGCCTCCACCCTCCCTTGTCCAGAAATTGAAACCCTAGTGTGTTCTTGAGAGTTTTGAGCCATAAAGTGTGTTTGTAGGAGCTTTGTGAAGGAGAAGAAGAAGTGGACCATTTAGAGTTGTGTTTAGAGCCTGAGGATCCGAGATTAGTTCATCATTTGCCAACCTTTTGAGGTAAAAATCTCCCATCTTGCTAATCTATGATGCTAGATCTAGTTATGTGCTAGTTGTGACTTTTTGAGTCCTTGGAGTGATTGTTGAGCCTCTTGATTCACTCCGGAAGTGATTGATGGTAGATCTAGGTCTATTTTGGTCCCTTTGTTCATAAAAATGCAAGCTTTGAGGTGGTTATGGACTCATGTATGTGTTAATACCTTTTGTTAAGCTCTTTTGAGCTTTAAAGCCTCATTAAGCCTTGTACGCATGTAAAGTTGCCAACTTTGCGTGATAAGCCACATTAAGGAAGTCGGATCTTAGAGTTGGGTTGAAGTCTTAACCGAATAAGAGCTTAATGATGAAAGTTGGCCAATTGGGGAGTACGCTAAGCGTACAAGCTGGTATGTTGCACGTACTAGCCCCAGAGCGTGTACGTTAAGTGTACGAGCTGAGTACACCGTGCGTACTCAGCAGTGGGCTTTGGAGTTTTGGGATTTTTGGTATTGGGCCAATGATGGACCTTAGGAGTCTAGGGCTTTGTTGGGCCATCAGAATTCTATTTTTGGGCTGATGTTATTTTGTTGGACTCTTTTGGTTAAAGGCCCACGAAGGGATTTGGGCCCAATTTGGAAGATTCGGCCATATTTGGGCCTTGGGTGATCATTTTGGAATTTGAGCCTTTTGGATAGTTGGCTTGGGCCTTGGGCCGAGTTCGGTAAAAGGGTAAAAAGTTCTTTTACCCTAGTTTATTTAGACTTTTTGTGTGAGTCGGGATCTAATTATTAATGAGATGCTATTTTGTGATTGATAGTACATGGATTTTAGCGGATCTACATCCAGAGATTTATCTGTGGGATTAAGCAGTCTGAAGTGAGTTTCATCATTGTGTTTAGCGGGTCGAGGGCACCAATGCCGACTCATGGTTTATTATGTTAGGATTCTAGATGTCTACGTGACTCTTGCATGTGTATGTGTTGGTATGTATGCCAAGCGGGCCTCGATGACGGGCGAGGCGCGATGACTGTATTGTATGCTATTATCTTTGTGATTATCGCATGTGTTAGTAGGATTATGTGTTTATATGTTGGGTGGGCCCCGTTATGTGAGTTATGGTGAGGCCTGTTATACTCAATGGGCAGGGCTCGTTATGCGAGTTAGGGTGAGGCCCTTTACACTCATTGGGGTGGGGACCTTTGATTGGCATATATGTATACCGGGAGGTGCCCTCTTTATGTTTGTTATGTATGGTATGGGGAACTCACTAAGCTTTATGCTTACGGTTTTTAGTTTATGTTTCAGGTACTTCTGGTTCGAAAGGGAAGAGCCTAGGATGATTGTAGAGCACACACCACCTTATTCCGCATTTTGTGATTTACTCTGATATGATATGATGTAGTGTCATACTTTGGTCCATCTTAGTTGTATGACAATGTTTGGATTAATGTTTTATAGAATTTTTAAAACGAAATTTTTGGGTCTTACGTTTGGGATGTTACAAGTTGGTATCAGAGCCTTAGTTTGAGGGATTCGAACATATTGTCGGGTGTGTATGAACTCAAACTGAGGATTTGGTAAATTTTTCAAAAAGAAATGTTTTTAAAAGAAAAGGGTTTTCTAATACAAGAAAGGGTGTGGTGCATGAAATCGACCGTGCTCAAGTAAGTTTTCCCAAAATACCCATACATGTTATTTGTTATGATTTGTATTGTGAATCTGTGAACCACGTGCTAGTTAGGGCTAAGGATCTGCTCAGTGTTTGCATGATATAATGCTAGAGAGATGCCTTTGTATGCCTATTGTATAAGCTTGTAGAATTGCATGCTAGTACTGATAAGTCAGTTATAGATTGACCGGATATGTGATGCCTTGTAGCCTAGGAAGCATGGAATGTTAGATTGGGAATATGTATTGGTATCAGGGATTGCTAAGATACGGTTAGGATCATATAGCCCTAGAATGATTGATTTGGCCTTATTTCCTGTTCCTCGTTTGGTTGTGGTCCTAGGGTAGAATCTTTTATTCAACAGTCTATTTCATCTTGTATTGTGTATAATTTGCATGCGTAAGGTAACCAACATCGAGATTGGAAGTTCCTTGCATGAGTCGTAGTATGTGAGTTGGATGTTCTTGGTTATTCTATGGATTGGAGTGCTACTGCACGAATGCTACTTGATTTGTGTTTTGTGGAACTCTTAAGTGACGTGAGTTAGCTACTAAGTGAATACGTCAAGTTACATGTGACGAGGGTTGGATAATATCAGAGTGACGGATTTGACCCTATTGCGCAACTCTCGTTTGATTCTAACCGTTGTAGGGACAAACCTTTTACTCGAAGGTTATCTAAGCTTTGTTGCATGTGATTGTATTCATGAGGTGGGTAACTGACATTATGGGGAGTTCTTCAGCAGCTGATGGCAGGGTGAGGTCGGAAACTTAAGAAAGCCTAGAAGTGCTTCAGTAGGTTTAGTTGAGCTGTTTAGCTCTTGTATTCATGAGGATCCTACTGCTAGCTCTTGTCATATAGGATCAGAAGTGGGTTATGCATCATGTTTTCAGGAGGATCGATCCCATGATTGGATTGCTACAGAGGTTTCGCGAGCTTTACGCGAGAAGTTACCCGACATCATTGGTCGTGTCACTGAAAGATTGGTCGACAGGTTCGAGGGTTGGACCTTGGCTGTTCAGACAGTTGATGGGATGGTCGAGGTAACTCAGGAGCATGAGATTGGTTCGGATATGTGACTGGGGAAGAGGAAGCGGACTCATGGTCTGACTCGGTGATCTGAGCAGTTGGACATTGCTATGGCTAGTGTTAGAGACCCGATGGGTCGTGATGTTTTCACGAAGGATGAAGGGGCACATGAGCATGTGCGCAACAAGTATAAGTGCGGTAGGTGCGGATGGAAGGGCCACCTCCGCCAAGAATGCACCATGGAGGTAAAATTGTGTCATTTTTTTCATCAACCTGGTCATATCAGGGTGAATTGCTCACACTTAGTGGTTGGGGCAGCTCAGGTTCCATCGCAGGTGTTTCGACAGGAAGAGGAGGTTAGGATTTCATCAGATGCTATTGCGTGTATATTATATTTTGCTTTCCTCTTGATTATTTTCAGTATTCATATTGCTTTGGAATCTTGTTGGATATGGGTAAGCATTCCCTCTAGGTTAGTTCTCTGTTATTTCCTGGGTTATATCATCAAGAATTGTTATGGTCCATTTTGCATGCAAGAGTCATTAGTGGGTCGTATCTTGCAGAGCAGGATTCAGTTG